TGTTTGCTTGTCCGACTGACTTTTTATCACTTTCCATTGTAGATGTTTTCTGATTGATGAATAGACACCGAAGTGAAGATAATGCCACAAAGAAGAGCCAGACTTGGTCCTGAATCTGAGGCTGCTCATTTTATTTTATCTGGAGTCAACAAACCTTGCTGAAAAGCCCAATGGATCAATGATTATAAAGGTATGTTATCTATCGACCTGCTATCTAATTTTTATGGGTACTGCATGAACATGTCAAGGGCTCCAACTAGGCCTGTCACTATAACAGATTTTTTTTCGGACATAATAGTTACCGTGCCGTGCTACAGTCTATCCCGGCTGTCTTCGGACAGTAGGCAGGGTACAATTTGAGGTTACGACTTGTGACTTACTTGCACATGTGTGACGTGATGTCACCTCAGATGCACAGTCTGTAAAATCATCACACTCTACCCTCGACCATGCAGTAATTAAGAAAATTGAGGATATCAATAAAATTCAAACTACTGGTCTTGCCGTGTGAACGGGGCTGTAGAGAGCCACATTATTGTTTTGTGACAATACAAATTGCTAACGAAAATAGTCAGCGATTCAGAGAATTGTTTTTAGAGGATGTGCAATTATTTTGTTCTTGCAGCACTAATGTTTAGTAATTTTTTCCCTCTTTTGAAGTCTTTATTTTTTGTTCTGCATATATTTGTGAATATCTGATTAACTGCAGTATGTAAGCCTGATTTGAATTGTATTCATTGAAATTAAAGTGTCAACTTTTCGTGTACTAGGATGTGGTGTATTTACAACTGAACCAATCGAAAAAGGATCCTTTATGGTTGAATACCGTTGGGAGTTAGTCTCAAACTATGAACACGGCAAGAGACAGAAAAAGTACACAGAGAAGCAAAATTCTTTCCTGTTTGAATTTGAATGGAAAGGTAGCACATGGTGGTAAGTTAAGATCTCGAAAAACATCATGTGGTTCTGTACAAGATTGTAGTTTTACTGGAAAAACATTTCATGTTTCATTGTTCAATTTCAGCATTAATTCCTCCCATGAAGATGTTTTATGAGGTCGACTGGTCAATGATGCTCACAAAGGCCCAAAATGTAGAATGAAAAAGGTGACAATCCAGGACAAACCTCATCTTTGCTTGTTTGTAATTGAAAACATCCAAACAGGAAATGAAATAACCTAAGACTATGGAGTTTGTCAGTGGCCATGGAGAGCACTGGTAAGTAATGCCTGAATATAGAAAACCAGATCTAATAAGTGTAACATATTAATGCTGAGAATTACATTTCAATAGGTGAGTAAGTGATCATTTCCATCAATAGTATATTAGCCTTTAAGAGTTCACATGGGTGTCTGTTTTAGAGGACTATTTGATATCAACAGAAATTCAAAGTCAGGAACCTGAACTCCATGCTTTCAGTCGTCATATTGTTTTACTCTGAAAGGATATGTTTCAGGTGCTGTCTTTATTATTTGAACTCTGTAGTGTCTGAGTCCTTATGTTGTTAGATATCAGAGCTGTGCAGTGGTAACTAACATAATGAGCCCTGCTGTGAATGATGCTCGCTGAAAAAAATACTTTCATTTATTTATTAGTCATGTTCATACAACGAAATATTTCTGACACTCTATTGTTGGTATAATGTTGCTCTTCATGATTTCAGTCACGCCCTTATACTTAAGTCTCTGAAGAATGCTGTAGAGTATTCCTGACACTCTAATGTTGCTATGTTGCAGACACCAAGTGTTGGGACCCTGACTGAACCTTCTGGAGACCAACAAGGGAGTGAGAGATCCACTTCATCCTTACAAAAGGACGACAACAGCGGACTATCGGCTGCTGTTGTCGTGGCTAGTCTAGCTGAGCTGTTGAAAGAGATCAAAGCTCTTTGATGTGTAACGTCCGTTGCGTCAGCACTGATTGATTGAAGCTAAATTCAGCTGTTGTCGTGGCTAGTCTAGCTGAGCTGTTGAAAGAGATCAAAGCTCTTTGATGTGTAACGTCCGTTGCGTCAGCACTGATTGATTGAAGCTAAAAGATGTGAGTGCGTACACGTCCGCGGTGATGCACGCACAGCGGAGAGCAGCGGACTATCGGCTGCTGGGTCGCGCTTCACTCGAGTGGCGTCACTACAAACTATTGTAGCTCACACGTACCGTTTTAAAGTGCTCCCCTGGGCCCTCCTAGATTCTTTGCCCGTGCCTTCGGTGAATTCTACACGAAGCACACTGAATGAGAATAATGACGATAAAAGATAGAGCGCAACATCTTTGATCACAAGCTGCAATTGCAGACTGCTGAGCGCTAAAAACTTCCGATGACGTAATCACGCGCCCCCGTCAATTCAAGATTTACCTGCTTTATTTTATTTTTTAAATATTTTTTTGTGAATGATTACATTTTATCAGTATATACCAGCTTTGAGTTTACAGCATTCTTTGGCAATCATAGGACAAGTTATAAGTCAGGAACATGGACAATCCATGATTTCAGTCGTCAGGTCCTCATATTGCCCTAGACCTGAAAAACTTGAATGTGTTTCAGGTGACAAGGTTTTTGCCTGAACCTAACTCTATCGAGCTTATGTTCTAATGTCCCCATATTGCTGGTTCACAGAACTTAACTGTGTTAAGTTTCTCTAGTGTTGTACAAGGATCCCAAATTCTCATGTGAATGACGTTCAATTAGAAATACTCTTAATTCATTACTAGTCAGGATCAATAATGGTGAATATTTTTGACACTGTAATGTTGTTGTGTTGCAGACACCCAGTGTCGGGATCTTAACTGAACCTTCTGGAGACCAAACAGGGGGTGAGACATCCACTTCATCCATACAACAGGTAATTACATTTTATCAGTATATACCAGGTTTGAGTTTACAGCTTTCTTCGGCAATCATAGGACAAGTTAGTTGTCAGGAAAATGGACAATCCATGATTTCAGTCGTCAGGTCCTCATATTGCCCTAAACCTGAAAAACTTGAGTGTGTTTCAGTTGACATGATTTTTGTCTGAACCTAATTCTGTGGAGCTAATGTTCTAATCAGGGGCATCACTAGGTTTCAAGAACAAGGGGGGCTTAGCCCCAAGGGGAACACAGCCCCTTTAGGGGGGTCCGGGGGCATGCCCCCCCGGGAGAATTTTTTTCTACATTCTGTTAAAAATCCATCAATTCCGTGCACTTTGAGAGCAAAATGAAGAGGCTATGAAGAACTACACACATCACATTAGTATCCTCTTTACTATGATGGGGCTTCCTCCCCTGGACTTTAACTGGACTAGATAATAGAAATTATAAAGAGTTCAAAAGTTCAATCTTGGTTGTTCAAGGGAATTAGAAGGATGCCCGATAACATAACCTATATGACAGTAGGCCTATATTCCTCTCTACCAAAATGTATTAATATATGCTTAGCAGTGGCGGGCCGTGCATTTCAACCTTAGGCCTTCAGTGACGTCACATACATACACAATATAGGCTCGTCAAGCAG